AGAACCAAGGTTTGTTTGCCTCCAAAGCCACTTCTCTGTTGTACTATCTGCTTTATTTCACCATTAATCCTCACACATGCTCTGTAAAGTGGACTTTGAGCTCCATGAAGATAGGGACTGAGTATCTGTCTTGTTCACCACTGCATCTAGTTAGTGATCAATAAATATTTGTTAGATGAATGACTGGAACAGATGAGGCCTAGAGAGATTAAATAATTTATCCAAGATCACACAGCCACTATTTAAGAGGGCCAGGTTCTCTGATTCTAAGTCCTATGCACTACAAATTGAGATCCTACAGCAGCCCTTGCTGGTTTGGTTCAGTGGATAGAGCATCGGCCTATCGACTGGAGGGTCTCGGGTTCGATTCTGCTCCAGGGCACATGCCCGGGTTGTGGGCTCGATCCTCAGTAAGGGGCGTGCAGGAGGCAGCTGATCAATGATTCTCTCTCATCATTGATGTTTCTATCTCTCTCCCTCTCCCTTCCTCTCTGAAATTAATAAAAAATATATATTAAAAAAGAAAAGATCCTACAGCATGTGGAGCTATGTGGGTATCTTGGGCAGGGATTTGGCGGTGAGGGGGATATAGACAAACAGGTGCAATAACAGAAGAGTTTGGTTTGTCTTGTATAAGTGCTGAGATCCTACCCGAGTGAAGATAAAGCTGAAGACCATGACTGGAAAAGGTGGATTGGGAGCAGCCAGAAGATGAAGGACGTGAATTGAAGATGATTCGGTTGATTCGGTCAGGAAATGGTCTGGGCAAAGACCAAGGTAAATTCTATTCAGGGGAATCGAGCCAGCCCCCAAATGCCATGCCACCAGTCACAAGGGTATGGGGGTACATGCCAAGGGCAGCTTTGCCTATTAATCGAAGCCGAGTAAGTGATTCCATGTGGTGAAGGACTTCGGAGCCAAACCGGCTGAGATTCTGCTTGCCTGAAGCTGAACTATCTGCCAAACTCTCCCCAAGTACTGGCTGGACACCCAGACTGGAAATGAGAGACTCAGAAATAATGAGGAGTGTGGTGGGAGGCGGGAGGCTGGAAGCGCGGATTGCCGCAGCATCTGCAGCCTGCCTGACTGCTCTTTGTCAGTCCCATCCCCTTGGTCCCTCCCCCTTCCTAAGAAATGGAAAAGTTTTCACAGGACACTCAGTTTAGCCAAATCAGAGGCTCCCCAGGTAGCACAGACAAGCAAAAGGATGCACCCCTCTACAATGTTAGTAAACGCCTGGAAGTTTCCAAGAGGAAGGATCGAGATTGAGCGCGAGGGAGCCTGGCTGCTCCTGTGCTCAGGGGCAGACCCTCCCTTGGTCTCATCTTAGAGACCTGAAGCCGCAGGACAACAGCTGGTGGCAGCTCCATCGCGTGGGCCTGCTTCGTGTAGGCGTTAAGCTAGAAGAACAGCTCCATTCCCTCCTGATGAATTTCAGAATTACATGCATTTGTATTCCCAGCACCTAGCAGAGTGCCTGCCCCATGGTAGAAATTCAAAATGTTGAAGAACAAAGGGAAACTGATGGTAAATATCATTAGGCACATATAACAAAGTGGATTTAAAAATGTTTTCCTAGGAATCTTTAAGTATACCCTGTCAGGATTTCGTTTTCTTAAAAAATATATACTGTTATTGATTTCAAAGAGGAAGGGAGAGGGAGAGAGATAGAAACATCAGTGATGAGAGAAACTGCTACCCGCGCATGTGCTGACCGGAACTGAACCATGACCTCCTGGTTCACAGGTTGGTGCTCAACCACTGAGCCAAGCTGGTCGGGCTACACGGTCAGGATTTAAGAGTGGGAGGAAATGAGATGTGTCCTTCCCAAGGAAATATGAACCAATACGTTTTGAGATAATACACATCATTTTTAAGTGCCATTATGTGTTAGGAGCAGTATCTCATTTAATCCACATAATTAGCCCTGGAGGAAACGGAAACTCAGCGAGGTGAAGTCACTTCCCCAAAGACATAGTGGCAAGAGATTTAACCTGGGATTTAATCCAGATCTGCCTGACCCCAAACCCTGTAGGTGCCCTTTTCATTACACTTTCTTAGGGAGAAAAACAACCTCATCACTGTCTGTAGAGAAAGCCCTGCTACCTTTCTCTGCGTTATTTTTAAACTAGAAAGTTACAGATTTAGTCATTCCATGTCTGACAGGGGCTGACCAGCCAGGGAGAAGTGATGTCTCAGAAATTCCAGACCTAAATTCTGTATCCCACACCCTCACTATGTATTCCTTGTTACACTATCAGTCTGGAGCTGAAACTCAGGAAGTTCTGCACTGGCTGACCAAAACAACAAAGAAAACCGTCCCCTTCCCCTTCTCAGCAGCCCTAGAAGAAATGAGGCATCTTTAAGATGAAGATTTCCAATGGAACTTGGATTTCTGCCTGGCTCATGTCCACAGAATTTAACATCGAAAGAGCCAAGGCCTAGGATTTATCCCGAGTTCTTGGGCAAAAGCCAGGAAAACAGAGCCAGACAGATAGGCCGGAGTTGAGAGGCTTCAGACCAAAAAAGACAAGAAAGCGAGGTTCTAAGTCCCAGAAAGCTGGTGTGAGCCCGATGGGATGGCCCCAGATTTAAGAGCACAGTTACTACAGGCAACTTGTGAAGGCACCACGGAATTTCCCCAGCAAATGCCAAAGTTGCACTGGACATTTAAGAGTGACAATGAGAAAAGAATTTCAGAAGCCAGGGAGACGGAGTAAATTTACAGGGAGCCCAGGAATGGCTGGGGCCACAGAAGAAAGCCTGGGAGCCCACGGGTGAGAAACGTCTTGGTTCTGAGATAAGGGATGGGACCCCACACAATGGGGACCCGTCCTTGAAGGCAGAGAGATGGGAAGGCATTACGCTACAGAAGGAATTCCATTTCGCAAGGAGAAAAGGCTGGGAAGAAAAGAGGGTTTTTTCTGTACAAGGGGGGGGGGGGGTCCCTGAGAATATAGTAGTAACTCAATGAAGGGGAGGGGTGTGTATGAGTGTGTGTGTGTGTGTGTGTGTGTGTGAGCGTGCAGCGCAGAAGGAAACTCCCCAAAAGGAAATGCATGTGAGGCTCTGCGCCAGGAAGGCGATCCAGAGGGCTGTGGGAGCGAGGCTCCCGTGCAGAGGGTGTCCCGCAGGAGGCCAGACCCGCAGACTCACCTCGGCCATAGCCCTGCGTGTGCTTGGCAAAGCTCCTCACCACGGCCTCCACTGCCTCCCGCAGCACCGCCGGGCTGCCCGCGGCGCCGGGGGGCAGGGGCAGCCCGGGGGCCCCGGACAGGAGCAGGGGCGGCGGGGGCTGTGCGGGGGGCGGGGGGGCCGGCGGGGAGCCCACTGCGGGTGTGGCGGGGGCAGCCGCCGCCCCGGTCACTCCGGGGCGCAGCGCTCGCAGGGTGCCCCTCCCGTTGGTGCCCACTCCCGGCTGCAGACGCTGCGCTCGCATCGTCTCCATCCCTGCCGCCCGGGGAGCCGCGGCCCGAGCCTGCCAGCCTGGCGAGCTAACGGTCCCCACACCCCGGCCCGCGAGCGCCCGGGACTGAGGGCGGTGCCAGGCCCAGCCGTCCGTCAAGCGGGGGCGGGGCCAGCCACCCTATGCCAATCTCCGGCGAGGGGCGGGAGCTGGCGGGCTCCGGCCCCGCCATTGGCACATGATCGAGGAGGCGGGGTTCTGAGCACCCAATTGCAAAGGGAAAAGGCGAAGGCCTCTCTGGGAGAGCAGCTGAGCGTGGGGCGTCTGCGGGAGAACTGAAAAGCCGCCCAGACCCCGGGCCAGGCCTGGGGGGCGGGGTGGGGTGGGGGTGGGGGTTCGGGTGGGGGCGTTGGCCTGGAAGCAAGGCCGGGAAGAGCTGTAGACGGAGTGGCGGGATACTGCGAGGCCATTTGTAGATGTAGATGAGGAAACTGGCTCAGAGAAGTGATGGATGTGACTTTTCCAAGATCACATGCCATTGAGGGAGGAGCGAAAAAGCAGGGAAGATGCTGACATTTAGTGAGAAAATATTTACTATTTGTCAGACACTACGCAATGGACTTAGTGCATTGTTTTACTTAATAATCACAATCACTACCTAGATTTTATTGTTTTATGAATAAGGAAGCACGCTCAGAGAGGCTAAACTGCCCAAACTGAATAGCTAGAATGTGGCAAGGAGTGGGGGTTCCGACATAGGTCTTCGGACTCCCAATATTTTGATCTTTTCATTCTTCGCACATTGTGGGGTAATTTTCTGATTTCACACATTCTAAGTTGGGGGAGTAAGAAAGAGTAGAATGGCTGCTCCCTCACCTCCTATTAGACTGAGGGAGACTTAGAGCATGTGCAGAAAACTAGCAAACTGAGAGGCCCAGAGAGCAGGTGAAGACACACACCCTTGTTCATAGAATCTGTCAGTCAGGCTGGATTCTTCTGAGTTCTCTCTCTCTCTCTCTCTCTCTCTCTCTCTCTCTCTCACACACACACACACACACACACAACACCCCTTTTTGTCAGCTAATCATTTATGCCATTTTTACCTAGGTAAATTTATGCCTCTCTCTCTCTCTCTCTCTCTCTCTCTCTTCCTCTCCCTCTCCCTCTCCCTCTCCCTCTCCTGAAATCCAGATGAATGAAATGCACCTGGTGAGATGAAAGTTAGAACCCAGAGGAAAAGCTGTGAGCAATAGGAAGCTTGAAAAGGGGGAAATTAATCTCCTGGGATATGTCTGCTGATGGTGGAGGGAGGAACTCTTTGTAGGATTCTTAAGTGAAAGACTCTGAGGATGGACGGAGAGGAGACGGGGAAATGAGAGCATGCCTAATGCCTTCAACCCTGGAGGACACAGGACACTGGCCTTTTCTTCTACAACCTCAGTTGGTCAGTTGGACTCCTGGGAGGAAGGTGGGTGGAACGTCTAAGTATCCCTACGTCATTATAGCTACAGTTAGCATCACCCTCCCTCCCCATTCCTCATCCCCCACACCTCACACCCCTCGGGCGAAGAGACAAAACAGAGACTTCTGAACACGTTTATTTGATATGTCAAGTGGAGAGAGGAGTGATTTGGGGTTGCTCCCCACTTCTACCCGCTGAGGGTGTTCATAAGCTCAGACACGAGAGCAGTTGGAGCCCATGGCCCACCCTGGGGAAATGAGGCGCCGTGTGGTATGGTATTGGCTGGGGGGACCGGGTGGGAATAAAAAGCAGGAAGTAGAGAAGTAAAGCTGAGAGCAGGAAGGGCAGCAGCAGAACCGAGGCTGGGATTGCTGCAGGAAACCCTCCAGGAGAAAAGATATCCTGAACAATGGTTAGGACGGGGAGCAGGGTGTGGGCAGGGAGCCAGGCCTGGAGAGAGAAGCGAGACCCGCAGAACGGGTGACATGGTCACGGAGAGGGCAGAGTGTGCGAAGTCATGAGAGGGCTGTGTTTCAGGGCACACACGGAAAGCAAGGGACTGCTTCTGTAGGAGGGCAAAGACTGCAGACTACCTATAGGTAAGGGCTCCCTACTGCTTCTCAACAAATGCAAGTGAATTTGGCACCCATGTGGGGCCCTAGCACAAGGGGCCTGTGTGCCTTGCTTGTGGGTAATTCTCATAAGCCTGTGAAGTCACCAGGGCATGAATGCACGTGTCTGTAAGCCCAGTAAAGAGGACGTACCCTTCCCTGCGAATAAGAGTAACTGTGCGTGTGGACACGCTTGCCCATGTGTGCGTGCACCGCGCCCAGGAGCACATGCAGAAGACCCCCCTGCCCGGTGTGTGTGTGTGTGTGTGTGTGTGTGTGTGTGAGTGTGTGAGCTGGCTCTCCCTCTGTCCGTCAAGGTCCTGATCCCACCCTGGCTCCCGTCCCTCCTCTCAGCGCCCCGGCTCCCCAGGCCCGCCGAGACCCTGGAAGCCCCCGAGCAGGCGGATCTGCTCGTTCTGCATCGAGTGGCGCCTCACCAACTTGCGCTTGGTCCTCGGAGAGCCTGGCGCCCCCGCCTGGGGAGGGGCGGGCAGCGAAGGCGCGCGACCCTCCGGGTTGGGGGCGAATGTCGGGGATCGGGGGGGTGGGGGCTGACATTGAGCGGGGGCAGGAAGCCCGGCCGCGTCTGCGAGATGTGGTCCAAGAGCAGCGTCCCCGAGCCCCTCCGCTCCAGCAGCCCCGGGCTCCGCCGGCGCCCCGCTCAGCGGGGACACCGCCCCGGGCAGGCTTTCCTGGGAACTGGCGCGGGGAGGGCATCCGAAGCCCGCCAGGGGCAGGAGTCCAGCGGGGAAGGCGCTGTAGCGGCCGGCCCTTCTCAGCGACGGGGCGGCCGCTCCTTCCGGGCGAGGTGGGGGAAGTCGAGCCTCCAAGCGGCTTCATGGCGGGCTCCAGTTTTCTTGCCCGCAGCCCAGAAAGGGGGACCGGCCTCCTGAGCTTCGGGCGCGGTGTTCCGGCGCGAGAGGGCGCCCCCGCCCGTCCCCTTCTCCACCCACGGGGGCGGGCCCTCGGGGCCCTCGGTGCTGTGACGTCGGGAGAGCCGGGGTCGGCCGCCCAGGGTCAGGCCGTTGAAGTCGGCGGTCAGGCGCTCCATCCCCAGCCTCCCCTCCGCGGGCGGGGCCGGCTGGGGAGCCACCAGGCCCCAGGGCTCGGAATTGAGCCTTTTGAGCGGCTTGGGAGGGTGGCGGGGTGGTTTGGGGAGCGGCTCGGAAGGCGAGGGGTCCTCGGGGGGCTTGGGCAGAGGGAATTCAAACACGTCCCGCTTCTCCTCTTCCTCCTGCGTGCGGGGGGACGGCAGCCCCCGCGCCCCCCCTGCAGTCTGCAGCTGGATTTCCGACGGCGACGCGCAGACCCCCGGGCTCGGAGGGGCGGGAGCGGGGTCCTCCACCCCCGGGGACGGCGGGGAGTTGAGATACTGCCGCGTCTTCTTGGTGCCCGAGGGCGAGGTGTCGGTGGTGATGATGATGACCTCCGTGCCCTTGGCCTTGCAGGCGTCCAGCAGCGTGGCCAGGGTCTCGCGGTCCCCGCGGTCCAGGGCGTGGACCAGCGCCGAGGCGCCGGTGTGGTCTCGGACCGAGGGGTCGGCGCCGTGGGCGAGGAGCAGCGAGGCCACGGCGGCGCCCCCGCCCCCGGCGCAGGCGTGCATGAGCGCCGTGCGCCCCAGGCGGTCCGCGATGTTGGGGTCCGCGCCGTGCTCCAGGAGGTAGCGGATCATGCGCGCCTTGTTCTGGGGGTCGTCGTAGCGGGCCCGACAAGCTGCCATCAGCGCGGTCTCCCCCTGGGCATCGCCCTCGTTCACGTAAGCGCCGCCCTCCAGCAGCAAGCGGGCCAGGCGCAGCTTCCCCTGCCCCACGGCCCGGAGCAGAGCGTGGCCCTCCGTGTGCAGCATCGCTGCGGCTGGGGCGAGAGCACGGATGGAGCCGGGGCCGGGGGCCGGGGCCTGCCCGGGAAGGCTAGGGGTGGGGGGGTGATGGCCTGGAAGAGGCCTGAGGGGCTCAGTGGCGAAGCCAATTCCTGGCAAGAGAGAGGGTACATCTGACTGATGGATCCAGGCAGGGAAACTGATGCACCGGGCTGGAAGGTACCCGGCCGTGGGGTGAGAGATTTCCATTGCAGGGATACAGCCTTTTCCTGAGCTCATGCCTGAGCTCGCTTCTCTCTCGCGAGCATGCCTTGAGAAGGTGGGAAGGGTGCACCCGCATTAAAGACCAGCGCGCGTGCAAATGCGTACGTGCACGCTCAGAGGTACCCCCCCACCCGCACCCCCCGGCTCCTCAGACCTTTCCAGCACCCCCCTTTTCTTATCTGCACTTGGAATCCCCCTCTCTCAGATGCTGAATGCCACCCACCCACGCACATGCACCCATACATTCACACACACATTCCCGTTCCTAACCTCGTTGAGGTTGCCACCGCCCCATAAATTGAGTGGGGGGAGGGAAGCAGCTTGCATTGGGGACCTAAAACGGGTGGGGGAGAATGGGGGTTTCTTTTGCCCCTGCTCTGGTCCCCATCACTCCTTGCTCTTTCCCCTCCCAGGCTTTGCGCCCAAATAGATACCTGAATGTCTGCAGAATCTCCGCCCGGCCAGAACCGAGGCCGGGACCACCAGGCAGCCGGGGTGGTGGGGCCGGGTTCCCGGGGGCCCACATGGCGTGGGGGGGCATCTGGATTCCCTTGGTGTCAGTATCTGCGCCCGGGCATCGGATGCTGGTCCCTCCTCCCGGTGCGCCCCGGGCACAGCGCCGGCTGGGGAGGAGAGAGGCTGGGGGGGGGAGGGGGGGTGCGAAAGGCGGAGCTCTGCCTTGCTATTTATAGCCTCGTCTCCTCGGGTGGGGGCGTCGGGCACCAACCCGTTCCCCCACCCATGCACACACAAACCCCCAAACCTGGAGCTCCAATCCTGATTTTCCTGGCTTAGCCGACAGCCCTTCGGTCCCAACAAACCTAAAGGATTCTTAGAAGATCTCCTCTGCCACCCAGACCGACACCAACTAAATTCATTCTTGAGCCTCTGCAGATCCCCCCTTCTCGCTCGCTCGGTGTGTTCCTGTGCGCTTGTGCGCCAGACCTGACCTACCTACCGCGGGGCACGGGGCGCCCTGTGCGGAGGGGTGGAGGGCGGCGGTGGGGATCCGCAGCCGGAGTTCAATGCTGTGCGGAGAGCGGCAAGAGATGTGTCTGGCGTCTCACAGTTTAAATGTCAGGGCGAGCCGGAGTCAGACGCGGGGAGCATCCCACTCCCCGCACTCGCCCCCCCCACCAAACGGAGCACACAGGATAGATGATCTTTGCACCGCAGCTCCCTGTACGTGCCTATCAAATAAGTATAGGGAGGGGGGCGGCCCTTGGGTCATTTTTAGGAAAGCCCAGGGGCATTCCCGGATGCCTCCTCCCCATATTCTTGCGGGCGAGGGTGCGCGGAGACAAGAGCGAACCTTGTGCCACATCCTCTCTCACGGCACCTCTTCACTCATCTTGCTTAGGTTATTTTTTCATCTTGCGTGGAAGTCTCGGTCCAAATCGCTCCTCAAGTCTCGCTCCCCTGTGGTCGCAATTGGTTTCTCTCACTGCCTCTGCCTCTCCTTGCCACCTGCCCTGTCTCCATGGTTACCATAGCTTCCATCTGCATATTTTAGGAATGAGTTTGTGTCCAGCTGGAAGGCTTCAGAGGAAGTGGGGGGGGGGGGGTAAGGAAAAATTTCCCAAGGATTTGGAAAACTCACCTGAGATAATTCAGAGGCCGGAGGCCACCAGACACAAGATCCTAAAAATAAGGGGGGGGGGGGTGCGGGGGGAGAGAAATACTGCAGGGAAGCCGCCCATTTTTACCAGCTACCACTTATCGGACACCAGCTATGTGCCAAGTACTTTACATATATATCTCCCGTCCTCACAACAACACTACAAAGAAGGAATTATCTTCACTTTATAAGAGAAAGGGACTTAGGCCCTAACTGGTTTGGCTCAGTGGATAGAACATCGGCCTTCGGACTGAAGGGTCCCGGGTTCGATTCCGGTCAGGGGCATGTACCTTGGTTGCGGGCACATCCCCAGTGGGAGGTGTGCAGGAGGCAGCTGATTGATGTTTCTCTCTCATCGATGTTTCTAACTCTCTGTCCCTCTCCTTCCTCTGTAAAAAATCAATAAAATATTTTTTTTAAAGAAAGAAACAGGGCCAGAACCGGTTTGGCTCAGTGGATAGAGCGTCGGCCTCCGGACTCAAGGGTCCCGGGTTCGATTCCAGTCAGGGGCATGTACCTGGGTTGCGGGCACATCTCCAGTGGGGGGTGTGCAGGAGGCAGCTGATCGATGTTTCTCTCTCATCGATGTTTCTGGCTCTCTATCCCTCTCCCTTCCTCTCTGTAAAAAATCAATAAAATATATTTTTTTAAAAAAGAAAGAAACAGGGACTTAGTAAAGTTAAGCGAGTTCTCCAAAGCCTCACAGCTCCGTTTCTGTCTTATCCCAAAGATGGGGCATTTGCCACCACCCTGCAGCCTTCCGAGCCCAGAGGGGTTGCTCCCAGGCCATTGCTCTGACACCTCGGAGGTTCTTGAAGCCTATATTTTATCACTCCTCTGAGCTCTTCCCTCTGTTTCTGGTGAGTGTGTGTGTGTGTGTGTGTGTGTGTGTACACGTAAGACTCCTCTTCCTGAAGCACCTATCTTATATAAAAACTGCTATTTGAAATTTTAACCCTGCTATTTTGGCATCTGTAAATGCTTGCTGGCTTAAATAATAAGGAAAAAAGACGACTCCCTGTTCCAGAGAGGCGTAACCCTTCCCCAGACGAAGTTATCAGTGCTGGCGCCAGGCCAAGCCTTGGAGGTCTCAAAGGCCCAGCACAAAGAACTGTGCAAAGGGGACCAGAAAAACCCCATATTTGGGAGACAAAGAGGGTAAAAAGGTATAAATACAGGAAATTTCCTTTGTGACTTGGCCCAGAATTCTAGAGACATTTTTTTCTCTGGGCCGTGCATCATCATCATCATCATCATCATCATCATAAATGTAACTCCATCTCTCTGAGCGTTGCTTGGTTGTCTCCGGTCTTCTGTAACATTCCCACCATGTGCCCTTACCAAGGGCGAAGAGGAGCTGGAAGGCAATGGAAAGTGCAGGAAACACTGGCTCCTGCCCTGCCCCCTAACTCTAGTTCTCTGATTCCTAACCTTCCTCCCCCCCAAACCTCTCCCCATCTTCTTTCAGACATGGCAGCAACCCACGGAAAGAAACATTTTTTATAAGAGCAGTATTCACTGGTGGTGCTCAAGGGAAGCAGTGTAGGGCGGAAGGGAAGGCTGGAGTCATGGAGCAGAGGCCAAGCGTGAGGCCGTCACGCAAAGACTCATCTCTAACGAGCCGCTCCCATAGGGGCTCATGTCTCTGTGGGGGCCCCCGCAGAGCCCGCTGGTGAGACCTGGGCGTCAGGCCCCCGCTGTGAACTCTCGCTCGGCTGGCCCGCGGCTCCTCCATCTGAGACCAGATGGGAAATAATGGAGCCTGGCTGATTCTGCAACCCCGTCTCCCTCCGCTAGGGGCTCCCACGCCCGGTTCCGGCTGGCTCCGCCCTCCGCCTCCTCGGCTGCCAGGGGGCGGACCTCCCCGCCGGCTCCTCCTAGATTGGCGGGGAGGGCTCACCAATGGGGAGCTCGCGGAGGCGGGCCCAGAGCGCCCCCGGCTCGAGGAAGACGAGCGGATTCCAGGTTGGCGGCGGCCTCGGCTTCGCGTGGGGGAGGGGCGGCAGGTAAGGCTCCCACCTGGAGGCTCGGACCTGGTTCCGTCCCACAGTTCCCGAACTACTTCGCCTGGGCCAGCTGCGAGACAGACAGACAGACAGACAGCAAACCAGCTTGCTGATCAGCCCCCTCGGGCTCCCTCCCCTTTCTCTCCTGGGTTCCCGTCGCGGTATTGATCCACACCGTAGCGTTCTTGTGCGCACAGGCGACGGATAGAAAGCAGAACGTGGGAAAGACGCGCTCTCGTGCTTCCGACTCTGCAATGGCATCAGCTTTCCTCGAACCTGTTAACAGTATCTCCCCAGGGGCCTGACAGACTTCTGTTATCTATCAAGACTCAGATGAAAGGTTACCCATGTCCTACCTGTAGCTTTCTTGCACCACCTCCCCCCAGAATTAATTGTTTCCCAGTCTGATGCTGGCATTTTATGTATACCTCTATTAGAGTACCTAGTGCACCCTCTCTCTTTAATGCTTCTAGTCTTTTCAGGATATAAGGTTTTGTAGGGCAGGTTCTAATACTACACATTGCCCAATGAAGGTTGAATGGAATTGATTGGGGATTCAGAATTTAAAGTCCTAATGTGGTTAGGGAACAATTCATAAAAGACAAAATACAGTACAATACAGTATATAATTAAGGGCTCTTAAAAGTAGTGGCTCATTTTATAGTTGCTCGCACAGTTCAGAGAAGGGAGAAAGCTAGGAAGACTGGGATAGTGGGGGGGGGGCGGGCGGGGGGAAGGGGGCGGGCATTTTATGAATCACAAAGTCTCAGGTTTGGAAGAAAGCTTAGCTATCTTGTGTTCACTCATTCATTCATTCAACAAATATTTATTGAGCATAAATCAATATTCCAGACAGTGCTAGACAAGGGGGATCATAATAAATCCTCTACTCTAGACATGCATCCTTCCTCGGGTAAACCATATTTAGTAAATTGTTATCCAGCTTCTATTTAATCGTCTTTAGTAAAATGACCCTATCTCACTTTTCCAGTCATTCCATTTTTGGATATTTGTTCTTCAATTGATATCCAACAAATATTCTAAACAAATATATAGCTTGGCACACTGCATCCCACACTTCCATTGTGAAAGGCGAGAGCAGTCCTAGTGGTAGCATTCTTAAAAATAAAGAACACCTTACCTTTTGTTTTCTGATTACAGAAGTAATATACATTTATTCTAGAAAATTTGGAAACACATAAAGGTATAAAGAAAAATACCTATTATATCATGACCATGATGTAGTGATAACCATTATTATATTTTAATATGTATCCTTTCTATTTCTTTTCTGCATGTATACATATATATGTGTGTGTATATTGCATAAATAGGGTCATACAATAAATGCAATTTTTATTATGTTCCCCCTTAGTTTACATTATATTGTGAATTTTTTCTTTTAAATATTATTTAAAGTCATTTTTAAATAATGACTGGTGGGTGCAGTGGTTGAGTGTCGACCTATGAACCAGGAGGGCAGGATTCGATTTCTGGTCAGGGCATATGTCCAGGTGGTGGGCTCTATCCCCAGTGTGGGGTGTGCAGGAGGCAGTCGATCAATGATTCTCTCGCATCATTAATGTTTCTATCTCTCTCTCCCTCTTTCTTCCTCTCTGAGATCAATAAAAATAATATTTTTTAAAAGTCATTTTTATGGCTACGTAATAGTCTAAAATGAATATTTTGAATTTTTTTGATCATTTTTTTTGTTGGACCATTTAAATTATTTCAGGATTTTTGCTACTATGAATAGCTCTTTGATGAACATCCTTGAACTTATATCTCTGACTACATATCTGATGATTTCTTTAGGTTAAAATTTTTAATAGGATTAGTGGATTAAGGATATGAACGTTAGAAAAGGCTGTTGAATCCTGGCCTGTATGTCAGTTGGAGGGCCCTCCCCTACACCAGAGGTGGCTGGTTCGGTTCCTGGTCAGGGCACATACTCAGGTTCCAGGTTCCATCCGATCATAAGTGTTCTCTCTCTCTCTCTCTCTCTCTCTCTCTCTCTCTCTCTCTCTTTCTCTCTTTCTCTCCCTCTCTCTCTCTCTCTCCCTCCCCATTCCTCTCTCTCTCTCCCTCCCCATTCCTCTCTCTCTAAAAGTATAAAAATAAAAAAGGCTGTTGATTCAAGTGGTCAATTTGTTCCCTCAAACGATTGTTCTAGTGAATTATGAGAGTGTCCATCTCAACAAAATTCATGACAGCCTGATCATCTCAACAAAATTCATGACAGCCTGATTATTATTTAAATCTTTGTCAGTTTGATAGGTAAAGAGTCAGACTTTTGTCAATTGTCCATGTCTTTTTAAAAAATATATATTTTATTGATTTTTTAAAGAGAGGAATAGAGATTTAGAAACATTGATGAGAGAGAAACATCGGTCAGCTGCCTCTTGCACACCCCCTACTGGGGATGTGCCTGCAACCAAGGTACATGCAGGAATCAAACCTGGGACCCCTCAGACCAGAGGCCGAAGCTCTATCCACTGAGCCAAACTGGTTAGGGCAATTGTCCATGTCTTTTGCATGTTTATTCTTTTGGGGTGATTTTTTCACTACAAATATAGGAAAGCCTAAACCTTAGAGTGCTCTAGGCCTCAGTCCCTGGATCTCTTAGAAAGCGCCTGGCACGTAGTAAGCACGCAGTAAATATTTGTTAAGTGCAGGGATCCTCAAACTACGGCCCGCGGGCCACATGCAAATACAAATATTGTATTTGTTCCCATTTTGTTTTTTTACTTCAAAATAAGATATGTGCAGTGTGCATAGGAATTTGTTCATAGTTTTTTTTTAAACTATAGTCCGGCCCTCCAACGGTCTGAGGGACAGTGAACTGGCCCCCTGTTTAAAAAGTTTGAGGACCCCTGGTTAAGTGAATGAAGATGATTTTGTTTTTATTATTCCCCTTTTAAGGATGAAGGAAACAGTTTTTGAGATATTTTTAAAATAGCTGAAAGTTATATAGCTAAGAAATGACAGAACTGGGATTCAAATCCATGTTCTTAACCACTACATGCATGTAACTTCCTTAAATTCCATGTAACTATTTTTCTCTATGTTTTGTTGCAATCTGTTCTCAATAACTTGTACCATAACACACAGTTATACATAATGGGGATGAGCATAATGTATATGGGATGTTGTTGTTTTACGGGAGGGAGAATGCAGGGGTGAACACTGGGGACAATTGATATTAAAGAAGAATAGTTTGGAACCAGATTATAAGAGACTTTACTGTCAAGAATTGAGACACAATCACAATCTTAAGTATAAGAGACTTGTTGTAATTACTGAGCTGAGTAGGGTAGAGATGAATGGTTTAGTTTATTGCCTGAATTAGATAAAATTTTGTCTTATTTTACCCCACTTTGTTGGGAGCCACTTGATACGCATGTGGAAATGGAATTAGATTTGTCTAACCTCAAATGCATGGCCTTTTCCTGACTCCTGGCTGCTTTGTAGTCAAAACAGCTCCCCCCTGCCCCAGCCTTAGCCAGTCTGGCTCAGTGGATAGAGTGTTGGCCAGCGGACTAAAGGGTTCTGGGTTTGATTCCGGTCAAGGGCACATGCCCAGGTTGTGGGCTCAATCCCTAGTAGGGGGCGTGCAGGAAGCAGCTGATCAGTGATTCTCTCTCATCATTGATGTTTCCATCTCTCCCTTCCTCTCCCTTCCTCTCCCTTCCTCAATAAAAATATATTAAAAACAAACAAGCAAGCAAACAAACAAACAAACACCCAGCTCCCCTCTCCATTGTCTGTCAAGTGGAAAGAGACCGGAGCCAGCGGTGGGAGTGTTCTTTCCCTGAAAGGGCCCGAAGGCATGGTGATGGATTCTTACTCCAGGGTCCACCAGTCCTCTTCTCTTCCCTCGTATGCTCTGTCAATCAGATACCATGCAATCTGTTAACTAACAGCCAGCTTCTGCTTCACATTTTTTCGTGGTAGTTGGGCTTGAAACTTTCCAAGTTTCTCAGACACATATTCTTTTACCCTCTCCTTCCTGCTACCTGTTACTAGTCTCATCTACTATTGTTAGTATATATTTTAAAATTTAAATCAACATTTTTTTCTCATTACAAAAACAGTATAGAAGAAAACCTTAAATTACAAATAACCGCCCCCCCAAAACACACCTTAAATTAATGTATATCCTTTAAGAACATTTTTATTCATAAATGTGTGTGTATGTTTGCAACATAGATTACTTTATAACTATTTAAAAATATTTTTAAATAACTATATTTTTGTAAAATGCCCTTTATTTAGCCATATATTTTTTTTGTCTAGAGCAGTGGTTCTCAACCTTCTGGCCCTTTAAACACAGTTTCTCACGTTGTGACCCAACCATAAAATTATTTTCGTTGCTACTTCATAACTGTAATGTTGCTACTGTTATGAATCGTAATGTAAATATCTGATATGCAGGATGGTCTTAGGCGACCCTTGTGAAAGGGTCATTCGACCGCCAAAGGGGTCGTGACCCACAGGTTGAGAACCACTGGTCTAGAGTGTTTGTTGAATATTAATTGAAGCACAAATATCCAAAAATTAAAGGACATACAAAGTGAGATAGGGCGTTCTCTCATTAAAGATGTTTAAATAGAAGATGAATAACAATGTACTAAATATGGTTTATCAGAGGAAAGATGCAAGTCTAGAGGATTCACTATGATCCCCATTATCTAGCATTATATCTGGCATGTAGTAGATGCTCAATAAATATTTGTTACATGAATGAATGCATGACTTCTAAGTGCTCTTCCAAACTTGAGACTTTGTTACTGTATTTTTTAAAAATATATATTTTATTTCTTTTTTTTACAGAGAGGAAGAGAGAGGGATAGAGAGTCAGAAACATCGATGAGAGAGAAACATCAATCAGCTGCTTCCTGCACACCTCCTACTGGGGATGTGCCCTTGACTGGAATTGAACCTGGGACCCTTCAGTCCGCAGGCCAATGCTCTATCCACTGAGCCAAACCGGTTAGAGCTTTGTTTCTGTATTTATAAATCCTCCCCTCACCATCCCAGACCTCCTAGTTTTCTCCCTTCTCTGGACTGTGGGAACAATTACATTATGAATCACTAATTTAAGAGATCTTAATTATGTACTGTATTATTTCTTATTGTTCTCTAACAAGTTGTTACTATGTACCCTTAATATGATGTGATGCAATGGTACTTCACCTCTGGGATTCTCCTCCCCAAGCCCCGAGCCCCAGTCTAATCAGGAGGAAAACATGAGACAAATTCTAGCAGAGGAGCATCCTATCATATACCTGACCAGTTCTCTTCAAACTGGCCAAGGTCATAAAAGCAAGGAAGGTCCGAGAAACTGGATTTAAAGTGCTACTCAAGGTTTTTTAAAATAGTTTTTATTTTTTGAAACAATTTTAGATTTACAGAAAAACTGGAGAGATAGTACGGAAAGTTTCTCTATGCCCTGGAACAGTTTCCGTATTATTAGCACCATATATCAGTATGGTACATAAGTTACAGTTATGAAACCATATTGATACATTCTAATTATTTAAAGTCACACTTGTTTCACACTTCCTTAGTTTTACCTGCTGCTCTTTTCCTGTTCCGGGATTCCATCCAGTATACAACATTACATTTAGTTATCATGGTCCGTGTGTGTGTGTGTGTGTGTGTGTGTGTGTATACACGTACATGTATTTATACACATGGAAATGAAATTAAAAGGATATATGTTAAAATATTAATAATGGTTATTACTAGATGGCGGTCATCATGAAATAATAAGTATTTTTTTCTTTATACCTTTATGTGTTTCCAAGTTTTCTAGAATAAATGTATATTCTATAATCAGAAAACAAAAGGGATGGTGTTCTTTATTTTTAAGAATACTACCTACCACTGGACTGCTCTCCCCTGTTACGATGGAAGGGTGGACCTCCCTTGTTTTGGGTGACTGGCAGTGTTAGAGAGTACCGGTCAGGCCCATAGGATGCTCTTCTGCTGGAATTTGTCCAATGTTTTTCTCCTGAGTAGACTGGGGTTGTGGATTTGGGGGGGGGGTCACAGAGGTAAAGTGGTAAGTGCCATTTCATCACTTCAATATTAAGGGTACGAATTCACGACGTGATTTAAGATTGTTGCTATTGACCTTGGTCACCTGGCAGAAGTAGTTAGTGTTCGTGCAGTTTCTCCATTGTAAAGTTACTACCCTACCCTTTCAAAAACTATACGTTTTGGACAAGATTCCCCATACACAGCCAACACTTAAGGAGAGGGGAGTTCTACCCTCTGTCTTTAGGGGAGTCTACACAATGGATTTGGAATTCTGAATGAGAGATGTTTTTTTCTCCCCCATGAATTGATTTATTCAGTCATTTATTTATACTAGTGTGAACTCCTGGATATTTAGTTTATGCTTTGGGGTAATCCAATACTGCTCTATGTTATTGTTCAAATTGTTCCGGCTTTGGCCATTGGGATCTCTTTCACTTGACTCGTATGCTCCGTTGATGTAGCCCCATCAATGTGTGGTGGTTTTTTGTTTGTTTGTTGTTGTTGTCTTAGCACTTACTGGCACTAGAACAGCCGTGGCCAAACTACGGCCCGCGGGCCGGATCCGGCCCGTTTGAAATGAATAAAACTAAAAAAAAAAAAGAACGTACCCTTTTATGTAATGATGTTTACTTTGAATTTATATTAGTTCACACAAACACTCCATCCATGCTTTTGTTCCGGCCCTCCGGTCCAGTTTAAGAACCCATTGTGGCCCTCAAGTCAAAAAGTTTGCCCACCCCTGCACTAGAAGGTACTTCAGGCTCATGGTGTATATTTCCTGCCCCCATCCTAGAATTAGCCATTTCTTCAAGAAGCCTTGGTTCCGTTTATTAGAAAATAGTATTAGAAACCAAGATCTGGGTGCTAGGTATGTTCCTTGCTACTGGGGTATCATTTTTTTCAAGTTTAATTTTTTTTAAATATATTTTTATTGATTTCAGAGAGGAGGGGAGAGGGAGAGCGAGATAGAAACATTAGCGATGAGAGAGAATCATTCATCGGCTGCCTCCTGCACGCCCCACAATGGGGATCCAGCCCACAACCCGGGCATATGTCCGCGCTCAGCCACTGAACCACGCCGGGCCGGGCAAGTTTCATTTTCACTTGGTGACTTTATCCCCCATGCTAGCTGCATCCGACTGTCCCCGCAAGTCTGATGATGACAAGAGGCAGAGCTCAGTTCAGTAGCAAGAGGAGCTTTCGATTCATCAGCATCAATCCCAGTGGGATGGGCCGCCATGGGGGAGAATGGACACCCTCTCCCTAGGAAAATACCACCAGACGCAGAATGACTCACAGCTTACCGAGTGGAGTACTGCACGCGGAGGGGGTTTGGACTAGAAAGCTCTGTGGGTGCTTCCAATTCTAAGTTCTGTGCTTCCAAGTGGTGTCTTAAAAGATCAATTTGATTGTAACGGTTCTCCTCTCTGCCCCCCCCCACCCCCACACACACCCACCACTGACAGAGACTGATGACTTATCCCTGTGCCCCCACAGTGCCTGTCGTACTACTTTTTTCATGGTATATTCTGAATAAATGTGTTGTTGAAATGCATTGCATTGGCTTGAATTGGGGCTTGGTTGGGTTTGGAAAGCCAGGGAGAGAAAGAATGAGAAGGTCATAGGTAGCTCCGTAGATGGTGATAAACATCAGATTATCTTAGGGATGCAATGGAGTTTTATCCAAGGATCTAGTCACTTTCCCTTTGGGCTAGTTACACTATATTGCAATTATCTGTCCGGTTGAGACCACGTCTCATCCGTGTTTATATTTCCAGAAATACTCTGCCTGGCCTGTGCCTTCTCAATCAATACCTGTTGAATTACACTGGCTTTTCAGGTCCCAGGAAAAAGGATTGCGTGTCGTATACCTCCCTGGTTTCCTACCCCTTCTCCTGCGCCTTTTCTCTCTGTTTTTATCTTCATCAGGTGTTTCTCATCGGATCTCGGAATACCCAGGCCGCTTCCACCATGGCCAGCCGGGGCCGGGGCCGAGGCCGCGGCCAGTTGACCTTCAACATGGAGGCCGTGGGCATTGGGAAGGGGGATGCTCTGCCCCCACCCACCCTGCAGCCTTCACCACTCTTCCCGGTGAGTGTCTGCCCTCCCTGCCCAGGCCTCCCCGGTGCCCCTGGCTGCCTGTATGTGAGCCGGGATGTCTCCTGGGCCGTCATGAACCATCCTTACCTTGCTCCTCCCTGTCTCTGTGCACCCGGCTCCCACGGATGTTCTCCAGGCCGGGAAGTGTCGACCTGACTTCTCAGAGCCCTGGCTCCCCAACTCTCACCCTGCTGTGCTGCTCCCCTTTTCTCGTCTGGCCCTTTGCTCAGCAGGAGCATGGGATTGGGCTGGGGGGAGACACCCTCCTGGATTTGTAGTCCAACATTTTCTCCCCGGACTGACCACTGCCCCTGTCTCTTAGCCCCTGGAGTTCCGTCCTGTGCCTCTGCCCTCAGGAGAGGAAGGGGAGTATGTCCTGGCGCTGAAGCAGGAGCTGCGAGGGGCCATGAGGCAGCTCCCCTACTTCATCCGGCCAGCGGTCCCCAAGAGAGGTCAGTCGGATGCTGGTATCCCGTCCCGAGTGCCTCCCGGGGCAGTGCCAGCGATGCCAGGCGAGGCAGAGGACGCTCACCGTCCAACTGGGGAGATCATGATAATCACCCCTGAATTCGAAACACATGACAGTGTCCAAGATTGGTTTTGTGTTTTGCAATAGTCTTGGGATAGCAGGAGGTGAAGTATTGCACCCGTATAAAGGGGGGATGTGTTATAATTTTTAACCATCTGGATATTACAGGCACCAACCAATCAGAAGGGGGGCTGGTGTTAGGCCTCGGAGATACCCTGCTAACTAAAGGGATACCTTTCTGGTTAGTGGATCGTGGAGAAGTCGGGGAGACCAAGAGCGACTGGAGGAGGGGGTGCACGTGGGAGGCCTGGGATAGTGGGTATTTATTAACTGCTGTGGAAGGACAGTGTTCCCTAAAAGTGGAAGCTCAGGGAGCGGAAAGGCTCGTGGAGGTTAGTCCCATGAACAAGGAGCAAAGGGAATATGGGAGCCCTGGTTCCTTGTCTCTAGTATACTTTAAAAAAAATATATGTTTTATTGATTTTTTACAGAGAGGAAGGGAGAGGGATAGAGAGTTAGAAACATCGACCAGCTGCCTCCTGCACACCTCCTACTGGGGATGTGCCCGCAACCAAGGTACATGCCCTTGACTGGAATCGAACCTGGGACCCTTGAGTCCGCAGGCCAATGCTATATCCATTGAGCCAGACCGGTTAGGGCCCCAGTATACTTTTTACTGTACCACTACCTCTTGATGGACTCATGCCTTTGGGTTAAGGGAGATAACAAAAAAAAAATCATACTTTTAGGTGGAAAGGGACAGGTTACAGACTGTTGAAGGTCCTCATGAAGCTGACCCCTGGGCTCTGGGTGTGGGCTGAGGGGACAGACAATTCCCAAGTACTGACAGGGCTGGGCCCTGAGAACAACCCTGGTCTAGGCCTTGGGGAGGATAAAACTTTGACCCTTGGCCTCTGACCCCTCAGATGTGGAGCGCTACTCAGACAAATATCAGATGTCGGGGCCGATTGACAGTGCCATCGACTGGAACCCTGGTAGGTGATGGGTCCTTTCACTGACTGCCCTTCTTGCAAATGTCTCCACACTGGCCGCCACCCCATCCACCCTCTTCTGTCCCCCCGCCACCACCTCAGTATTTACAAACTGGACCCTTATGTATACTAGTGAACACTCTCAGGTTCCACCTAAAAACCTGGTAACTAGCCCTCACTCCCCTGGAGGCATCCAAGCCACAGTTTCGTTCCAAGCAACTTTGACCCAACCCCTTCCTTCCTCACCTTCATCCCAACCCTTATCTCTAGAACCAGTCATCATTCACAGAAGTCCGCCTCACCCCAGGCAGGGTCAGACTGACTTCTACTTTCCCACTCTTCCCAGATTGGCGACGTCTACCCCGGGAGCTAAGGATCCGAGTGCGGAAGCTACAGAAGGAGCGTGAGTGTGTCAGGGAAAAGAGCTCTCCTCCTGCCCTCCTAATCCTACTCCTACTCCAAGCACCCAGTGTTGTTGCTGGACACCTTGGTGACCACATGAGGGCAGTAGAGTAACATGGTCTTTGCAGGAAGGTGGTAGAAATGTAGGAAGTTTGCTCTCTGATGGTTCACTTTAAAAAAATATACATATATTTTTTTATTGATTTCATAGAGGAAGAGAACAATGGAAACATCAATAATGAGGGAGATTCATCACTCATCTGCCTCCTGCATGCCCCCTACTAGGGATTGGGCCCGCATCCCGGGCATGTGCCCTGACCAAGAATTGACCTGTGACCTCCTGGTTTATAGGTTGCCATTCAACCACTGAGCCACACCCGCCAGGCTGATGGTTCAATTTTTGATCTTCTCACCAGGGACCACCATTCTACTTCCCAAGAGACCCCCCAAGACCACAGAAGATAAAGAGGAAACAATACAGAAACTAGAGGTAGGAGGAAATGTGCACGGGGCCTGCGCCCCAGGTCCATGCCCTCCTCTTTGGCCCCTGTGTGCCTCACTTTTTCCCTTCTGTGCACTGAGTCTGAGTTTGTCTTCCTATTCATCTTCACATAAGACCCTGGAGAAGGCCCTAGCCGGTGTGGCTCAGTTGGTTGGGCGTTGACCTGTGCACTGAAAAGTTGCTAGTTCTATTCCCGGTCAGAGCACATGCCCCACTTGTGGGCTCAATCCCTGGTGGGAGGCAGCTGATGAATGATGTTTCTCTCTCTAAAAATCAATACAAAATCTTAAAAAAAAAAAGACTCTGGAGAAGAAGGAGGAAGAAGTAACTTCAGAGGAAGACGAGGAGAAAGAAGAAGAAGAGAAGGAAGAGGAAGAAGAGGAGGAGTACGATGAAGAAGAACATGAAGAGGTGAGGAGACCGCTTTCCGCCCGCAGTTCCTCTCTCTTGCCCTCTTGCTCTCTTGCTCTCGTTAGCTCTGGGGATCTCAACTCTGCTCACCAGGGATGTTCTCTTCAGAGGGTTGCAGAGCCAAAGGAGAAAGTGCCCTCCATGGTATCTGTCCGCTGGCTCTTCTACAAGCCAGCCACAGCCACGGGGTTTCCAGGCCTAGAGCGTGTGGTTGGGAGGGAAGGGACCGGGTACACAGGGAGGAAGGAGAACGCCAAAAGCACGCCTGACTTTTCTTTACTTTGTATTACAGGAAACGGATTACATCATGTCATATTTCGACAATGGAGAGGACTTTGGGGTTGACAGTGATGACAATATGGATGAGGCTATCTACTGAATAGGGACCCTCAACAGCACCCTGGACCTTCGTACCTTTCTGATGTAGGACACAGAGGCACTGTGCCTATTACTTGGTTTTGTGGACAAGGAGATCTTTCGCTCAGTGTCCAGATAACCCAGTGGTTCTCAACCTGTGGGTCGCGACCCCTTTGGCGGTCCAACGACCCTTTCACAGGGGTCGCCTAAGACCATCCTGCATATCAGATATTTACATGACGATTCATCACAGTAGCAACATTACAGTTATGAAGTAGCAACGAAAATAATTTTATGGTTGGGTCACAACAGGAGGAACTGTATTTAAAGGGCCAGAAGGTTGAGAACCACTGAGATAACCTATTTGGTCTATGGAGACGGAAATGGAGAATGGCGACAGACAGCTCTTTCCTACCCTTCCCCTGCCTCTGCCCTTGTGTCACTTCTGAGATCTTGGCGAAAGGGCAGAGGGCCCATGTCTGCTTGTATGAAAGGGAGAAAGGAGGGTCGAAAGAAGAACTGAAACTGTTAGACCCGAGACAGCTGTACACACGCCCTTACCCACTTTTTATAGTTCTTTGTGGGGATGATTGGGGGTGGGAGCAGTTAGGAGGAGTAAGGCCAGTTTTATATTTTTAAATAAAAACTTTTTTTTTTTTAATCTGTCTTTTTGTTCAGGGTGAGGCCTGGTGGGAGAGGGCTGGAGGAATGAAGGGGATGCCTCGCTGAGCCATTCTCTCCTTCCCTGTCAGAGTCCAGTGGGACACCTGGGGGTTACAGCCTTCCTGTTCTTTTCCCTTCCCGCCCACCCCAACGGTGGGACACGTGCTCCCAATCTAGCCTTGCCAGGAACATTCAAGAAGCTCCTCTGAGGGGCTGTGCAGAGCAGTGGAGAAGAACAGCGCTGGCCCCGAAGATCAGCTGATGTCTGAGCCTCCGGCCACGGGACAGGACGGTGCCTGTCCTCATGTGCTCACAGGGCGCAGGCCCTCTCTTTCCCACACTTGGCCTTGAGCTTGTCCTTGTTTACAGAGAATGATCGCAGCTATTTTTGTGGGGAGAGTCCAGAAAGCCAGGTATGGAGAGGGAAGAGGGGGGAGGTGCCGAGTCTTCTTCAGCACACTCACCCGCTTCCAGGCCCCGGAGACACCACTGGGAATAGTGTGTGTAGGTGAAGCCCACTGAATATTCTGTTCTCTGCTTCTAGAAGCCACTGTGTGGCTAAGTTGCAGTTGTTTTGTTTTGTTTTTCCTATGTGGAATTTAGTTAGCCCTTCTCACTTCCTTCTTTGGGAGGGAGAGGGGAGGTGGTGTTGCTTTACAGGAACTAGGGAGGGAGGGGTGGAGTGGAGTGACTTAGGGACACTCAGCTCTGAGAGATGCTTCCTCGCCTACACAGCTCTCCCTTGGGTGAGGTCACTTCCCTCGGCTCTGATTGGCTCTGAGAAGGCCCTCGATGAGCTGATTGGTCCCAGCCACTGGACATGCAGCAGTCACAGGCTAGCTGCGTGTGCGGAATAAGGACTGAATCAGGAGGCAAGCACAGATAGCAACCCGACTGCACATCTGAAAGCCATAAAAATGGGATGCAGGAGAACCTTCAGGAAATTCCCCGCCCTGGCAGATAGCTCAGTTGGTTAGAGCATTGCCTCTGCTCTGCCAAGGTTGTGGGTTTGATCCCCGGTCAGGGCACATATAAGAATCAACCAAGGAATGCACAAATAAGTGGAACAACAAATCCATGCTTCTCTCTCTCTCTCTCTCTCTCTCTCTCTCTCTCTCTCTCTCTCTCCCTTCCTCTCTCTCAAATCAATCGATCAATCAAAATAAGAAAGAAATTCCCAACCTCATTCAGGCTGGCACACTGGATTCCCTGCAGCATCAAGTGGCAGAGAGTGGCAACCTTATATTAGATCTTTCTGACCCCGTTGCAAAGAATGAATAGGGCCTGTGACTTCATTGAGGGAAGGCCCTTAAAAGCCCCATATGGGTGCAGTAGTAGGTGTTACAGTAGAAGCAGCCAAGAGAACAGAGAAGGAAGACTGGAATAGAAACAGAACATTCCAGTATTGAGTAATTTGTGATGATTGATGTGTTCTTTTTCTAGCTCTGTGAGGTGTTGTAAGTGGAGTGGGGGTAGGGAGAGGACCCGCCCCTGGGGTTTCCCAGTCACACTATAGCCTGTGAGATGACGAGGGAGAAATCCGCAAGAAACAGAACCAAAAGACACTGAAAAATCTTCTGTACCCTTCTCCCCCCGCCCCCGACACCCCCCCCCCCCAATTCCAAATCTGGCCGGCTGTATCTGTGTCTTTGTTGGCGTTATAGCCAATGCCCTATACCTCACCAGTGCCAGCCTGGGAACTTCAAGAATGGGAGCAAAGAAGATGCTAGACACAAGACAGTAGAGGAGGAACACATCCCGGCCCGCCCTATCCCCCCCACCCCCTGCACACACACCTCTATGCACACACATCCTCTGCCCCTGAAACAGGGGAAAGGGGGACAAAGGTTAGAGTGACCACTGGGGTCAGATGTCTCGCCTTAGAGACAAAGTACCAAGAAAATCAGATCATTCTTGGACTCTTCCCTGTCTGGCTTCCTGCCTCTGCTGGCAGGTGACCTTGCCGAACAAAGCCAGAGGCATGGGACCCGGCAGCTTCCCCAGATTCCGGAGCAGTTCCAGGCGTGAGCTAGTCTGTTTCCATTGACCTCTCCCCCACTTTCCACAGGCTCTGTCCGGCGGGCTGCGGTTGCTAAGGCCCAGTAAACAGTCAGGGCTGCTATTCCTCTGGAGGACCAAGAGGAAGGTTAGAGGTTGAGGCCTCCTTGTAAACACGCAGAGAGGACCCGTGTGGTGCTTGCTCCGCCCGGCATGGTGTGCCTGCTAGGGCCGGCTTATGTTGAACAGGTTGCTCCCATGCCCACAGCCTGGGCTGCACTGGCCTCAGGCAGGGTAGGTTCTCTGGCAAGCGTCCCATCTTTTCCCACCATTTCTTACCAGCCTCCTGGTCCCCTCCCACCTTGAGCAGGAAGCATGAGAGTGGGGTCTGCAAATGTACCTGCCGGGTCTCGAGTGGTCTGAGGGGGAGTGAATGGGAGGCCTGGGTGCAGCATGAAGTTTAGAAGGTCAGGAGTGGAGACCAGAGAACACTGGAGGGTCAGAGGTCAGATGGGCAGGACACCCTTGGTTTGGTGAGGAAAAGACAATTCCTTTCCTCGATTCATTTTTGCTGTTGCTTGAGCTTTGAAAGGAAGGTAGGGTGGCTCGAAGCCCAAGCTGGATAAGAACTACACCAAGGGGAAGGGCTGTCATCTCAGCTGGGCAGAGCCCTGGTGCGTGGTCCTCGCTTCACCACTCCATCGTTTCGTGTCCTTGGGAAAGTTATGTCCAGTCTCAAGCCTCAAATTCCTCATGAATGAAACAGGATTTGGCCCTAACTGGTTTGGCTCAGTGGATAGAGCATCGGCCTGCGGACTCAAGGGTTCCAGGTTCGATTCCGGTCAAGGGCATGTACCTTCGTTGCGGGCACATCCCCAGTGGGGCGTGTGCAGGAGGCAGCTGATTGATATTTCTCTCTCATCGATGTTTCTAACTCTCTATCCCTCTCCCTTCCTCTCTGTAAAAAATCAATAAAATATATTTTTAAAAAAAGAAAGAAACAGGATTTGGATTAGAGTGTCCACTAGGAGTCCTTCACGCGGGTGTTGCTCCAGCTGCAAGAGCCCAAATGGTTCTGAGAACAAAGGTCAGGACGTGGCCAGCTTTTGCTGAGCTCCTTCCATCTGCTGGATCTCCCCATCTTATTTTCAGCGTGGGCGAGCTAAAGATAACTCCGGCACCTGGCCAGTCCTTTCCAAGAACCTGCTGCAGCTTAATAGGAGGAGAATCAGCAATTCCATCAACTAGCAAAAAAGGAGACAACCCCTAGAGCAGAGTTCAAGGTCACAAGCTAGGACTAAAACAGGCAGGTCACCAAGACATTTCTGCCTGAGGAAGAAGCCAGGGGGGCAGGTGCTCTCTACCTCCCCTCCTTTCTATCTGGCCAGAGGACAGAGAAGAAAAATGAGATGGAGAGGAATGCTGTAGCTCAGTTACCTAATGTGGCCAGACCAGTGTTAACCCCTTCTCCATTAACCTTTCCCCTAGTGAGGCTCACTTAAAAAAAAAAAAAAAAAAATATATATATATATATATATATGATTTTTAGAGAGAGAAACATCGATTTGTTGTTCCACTTATTTATGCATTCATTGGTTGGTCCTTTTTTAAAAAAAGTATACTTTTATTGCCCAGCCAGTGTGGCTCAGTGGTTCAGAGTCAACCAATGAACCAGGAGGTCACAGTTTGATTCCTGTTCAGGGCACATGTCCAGCTTGCGTGCTCTGTCCACAGCAGGGGGTGTGCAGGAGGCAGCCAATCAATGATTCTCTCTCATCACTGACATTTTTCTCTCTCCCTCTCCCTTCCTCTCTGAAATCAATAAAAATGCATTAAAAATATACATATATAATTTTATTGATGATCTCTAATAATAAAAGCGTAATATGCTAATTAGACCGGACAGCTGAATGACCCTCTGGACATCCTTCCGGATGACCTTCTGGACGAAGCCAGGGCTGCAAGGGCCGAGGAAGCCACCGCCGGGGGGCCTCTAGTATATATATAATTGATTGGTTCCTGTATCTGCCCTGACTGGGGATCCAACCTGCAACCTTGGTGTATTGGGATGATGCTCTAACCAACTGAGCTCCCTGGCCAGGGTGAGGCTCACTTTTTTCTATTTTATTATTTAAAAAAAAAATAAAAAAATATATAAATATATATATAAAGGGTGTCCCAAAATTCACGCAAGAAGTAATTTTGATAGAAAACACAGGTTTATAATTAAAAATTGTAAATTTTTTATAGATTCATAAAGTATACAGTATAGGGTTATGTATGGAATAGCATATCAGGTAAATGGCCTCCTCGGCTTTGCTGGCACATACGCACTCTTTTATTGAAAATTTCCATGACTGTTTGCATAAAAGTGGCTGAATTTCGATGAGGCTCATTTTCATCTTGATGGCTTGGTTAATCAACAAAATTGTCACATTTGTGGTTCAGAAAATCCACGAGTGATTGTTGAGAAACAAAATGAATCCACAACGTGTCACTGTTTGGTGCGGATTTGGGGCTGGAGGCATCATCTGAGTATTCTTCGAAAATGCGGCTACTCAGGCAATAACAAAAGAGTGCGTATGCGCCAGCAAAGCCGTGGAGGCCATTTACCCAATATGCTATTCCATACATAACCCTATACTGTATACTTTATGCATCAACAAAAAATTTACAATTTTTAATTATAAACCTGTGGTTTCTATCAAAATTACTTCTTGCGTGAATTTTGGGACACCCTTTATATATTTTAGAGAGAAAGGGAGAGGGAGAGAGAGATAGAAACATCAATGATGAGAGAGAATCATCAATTGGCTGCAGATCAAGCCTGCAACCCAGGCATGTGCCCTGACAGGGAATTGAACCTGACCTCCTGGTTCATAGGTTAACACTCAACCACTGAGCCACACTGGCAGGGCTTATTTTTATTTTATCCTCACCTGAGGATATGCTTTTATTGATTTGAGAGAGAGATAAATATGAGTGAGAAACATTGATTGG